ATGTCCGGGTTCAGATGAGGCCGCTCGTCAATTGACAATGTAGTTGACTTGGTGACATATGTAGAACACCAGAAGGTCTGCAAACGGTTTTCTGCTGCTCTGTTTCTTGATGTTAAAGGGGCCTACGACAATGTCACCCACGAAGCCATTCTCAGCGCACTAGAAGGAGTGGGACTCGGTGGCAGGATATATACGTGGGTTCAGAGCTACCTATAGAATAGATCATTTCACGTGCAGACAGAGAATGGCCCGACACCTGAGTATTACTGCAGCCGAAGAGTCCCGCAAGGCGGAGTGCTAAGCCGACGCTGTGCAACCTAACTCTCATTGAACTAGTTGGAAAGCAACCAAGCAGTGTACGACTTTCCATTTATGCTGATGACATCTGTGTGTGGACATCAGGTGTGACTCGACTTCAACTTCGCGCTCGACTTCTGAAGGCAGCATCAGTGACATCGTACCACTTACCCAAACAAGGGCTTGAAATCGCAAGTGAGAAGTGTGCAGTCGTGGCCTTCACCAGAAAACCAATGTCCGCTTACGGCTTATCAATTAACAGGCAGTTGGTGTCATGCAGCCAGAGTCACAGGTTCTTGGGAGTCGTAATCGACCGAAACCTGTCTTGGACACCCCACGTAAACTACGTGAAAAAGCGGCTGACTGCCATTTGTCACTTATTCAGGTTTCTTGCTGGGAAAAGTTGGGGAATGTCTGTCGAGTCTATGTTACAGCTGTACAAGGTATTATTTACTGGATTCCTGCGGTATAGCCTAGCTGTTATATCTAACACGTGCAAAACGAACCTGCGCACAATCCAAAATATTCAAGCCCAAGCGCTTAGGATATGCCTTGGTTTACCCCGCTGCGCATCGACAGCTGAAACAATTGCCATTGCACAAGACTACTCGATCATGACGCACATCACAATTGAAACGATGCGTACGTACCTCAGGCAACATGCTAGGAATCCTTCCCACCACTTGGCAACCCTCGCTACTGAGAGGCCCCGCACGAAATTTAGTGCAATTGTCTGTGCTCATCGTGCGTCGTTTACGTCAGATTTTACGCCTGCTGAGAAACTGGTGTATCCTCCGTGGTGCCTGACACTTCCACAAGTACGTGTTCAATTCCAGGAATACAGAAAAAATCAAATTTGCCTTCATTAGCCCTAAAACAATTGAGCTTGAGCCACCTGCACAAAATGTAAACAACCACGTGCACATATACACCGATGGTTCAACCACAGCGTCTGGTTCTGGTGGTGCGGTGGTGATTCCAGCTAGAGGAATCACTCTGCGAATCAAACTGTCACATGTCACTACGTCCACAGCGGCAGAACTTGCGGCTTTGCGTGGCGCCATAGAGTACATCAAATCCCAAAGACCGAGTAAATGGGCTGTGTTTTCCGACTCAAAACCAGCCCTACAGAGCATGCAGTCAGTCCTTCGACGAGGTTGCCATGAATAATTAACTTACGAAGTTGTCAAGCTCGTTCACCACGTCACAGAAACAGGCCACGAGGTCAAGTTTCAGTGGCTTCCTGGCCATTGTGGGATCAGTGGCAATGATTCCGCAGACAACGCGGCTCGCACATCGCACCAAGAAGAACTCATCCTTCCGATTCCTTTGTCAAGGACTGACGCTGCAAAGCAACTTCGTCACCTGGCACGTAGTCTGAGTCTGCAGGAGTGGAACACTCCAAGCATAAGACATACGAGACTATACCAAATAAACCCTCGACTGGAACGTCGACCTCTATCCGGACTTCGTCGACGTGAAGCTTCACTTCTTTGTCGCCTTTGGTTGGGGGTTGCCTTCACAAAAGCATATAGAACCCTCATCTGATTGACCGACAATGCGGAATGCGACGTCTGCTGCACCAAAGAAGACATCGACCATCTGATATGCCATTGCCCTCGATTGCCTCTGAAAGACAGAAGATTCGGACGCATTGCGACAATTGGACGATCGGCCACTATCTGTGCAGATGCTACTGGAACACCGTCATCACCTTTCGTCGGCTCAAAAAGCAGTCAAAGCTGTCTTGTGCTTTTTGAGGACTACAGGCCTGTGTGACCACCTTTAACGTTTGTGTAGTGCCATCGCTGTATACGCGCCAGCCGATTGACTGACAATCCTCCTTTTTTTTCTTTTTTTTCTCTCTCTCTTTCTCTTTTCTTTCCTCTCTCTCTCTCACCTTATGCCCTCTCCTATTCCCCAGCGTAGGGTAGCAAACCGGGCATGAGCCTGGTTAACCTCCCTACCTTCCCTCTTGTTGTTTACTCCTCCCCCCCCCTAACTTGATCTGCCACCACAAACTTCAGGCGCAGGATTTCGTCGTTTTTCTTCCACGACAACATCCTGTACAATTGGAGCTTTGATCCTAGGACTTGAACCACTCTACTGGTAGTACCATCTGGGATGTAAGCAGCGATCCTCAATGCATGTCATGACAAACTGTCTTCTGGGCATTTAGATTTAGACCTGACATGTACTCTTAGCTCATATTTGGCACAAGTACTACTGGCCTAAACTGTCCCATACTGCCAAGCACGACTTCAAAATCTGCCGTGACTGCCAGTGTTGCAAGACTGCGCAGGAAACATGCAGGTTTTTACATCTTGTGGAGCCATCCTGAGCACCATTTCAACAAGTTGGTATGAACCTCCTAGGTCCATTTCCAAAAATATTCAGTGGATAACTGTTGGATAATAGTTGTAACAGATTAATTAACCCATTACTATGAAACGCGAGCACTTCAACTGGTACTGCAAGTGATGTCGCTGACGCCATGATGCACTGGCCGTGGTTCTTACACACAGAGGCACGGACTTTACTGCCCAAACAGCTCGAAGAAGTGACGCCACTTTGCGGCCTCATACATTGTCGTACAACAGCCTATCATCCGCAAACGAACGGTTTAAAAGAACAGCTCAATCAATCATCACGGATGTACTTTCCGTGTGGCAATGTGGATCATAGGAACTGGGACGGTGTCCTTCCTTTCTTAACTTTCGCTTTAACACCGCCACGCAGGAAATTACTGGATTTATGCTTTTCCACCTGCTTCACGGCCATCAAGTTACTACGATGTAGAAGCCATGCTTTTACCCAATGCCTTTGCAGCCGGCACCAAATTGCTGACCAGTATGCGCAGTGTGCTGAAGGAGCTCTTCAACTAGCTCACTCGCGCATTCGCTTTCAGCAACCTTACGACGCTCACATTTACAACCTTGATCACGAAGAAGATGCCTACCATCCTGGAGAAAAAGTATGGATCTGGTGTCCTGTCCGCCAATGCGGCCGGTCAGAGAAACTCTTGCGCCATTATTTCAGCCCTTATCGAGTTCATAAACCATTGCAGTGTGCTGCAATTAGTGACATTGTGGTGGAATGATCGCAATTAACGTATTCTTCAATCACTTGCCGAAGGATGCAAAGCACGCACGACGGAGAACGGCGCAAATTAGAAGCTCACGCATAGGAAAGAAGGTGATGGACACTACGGTAGTTTGATCCAATCAATTCGCTCGCGATATCTTAATGCTCATAGCACGGATAATTGGGGTGGTTGATATCGGTTCACCTTCAAACTGAATAAGGGCACGCACACAGACACGGACACTAGAACAGGAAATCGCACAGACCAAGAGTGCCTACTCGCAACTAAAGTTTATTCGAACTTGAACTTTATTCAAAATAAAGTTTATGCAATGGAAACAGGATGCTGCCTCGAGTTCCTCTCTGTGTGTGACCACTTGCTGTGGTCACACACAGAGAGGAACTCGAGGCAGCACTGACGCTACCAAATTTAATGCACATGCATACTCCATAAAGTAGATGGGAGGATAGCTGCCGTTGTAGCTCAGTTGGCTAGAGCATCAGACGCGTATTCAAAGGTTGCAAGTTCGGTCTCTGCCCACGGCAAGTATCTTTTTCATTCACTTCTCTTCCTCAAATTACTTTACAATAATTCTAATAATGTCCCTATACTTTCCTTGGCTAATTGTCAGTTCTCATCAACACAGTTAATGAGAAATTCGAAATCTTTTGGTTATAAAGAAACAAACGTATGGTTGACGCATTTGTCTTTTAATCTGGTGGTCTGAAAGGCTTCAGTTACTTCACTTGTTATTTTATTATGATGTCATCGTAATAAATGGATCAATAAAATGAGGACGATATTCTCATGTAACACAATGCTTAGCCTGATGATAGGTGGTGGCATTAGAGAAGTCCATTTCAGCTCAATCACTGATGCAGAGGAGCACCCAAGGATAGTCATGTCAATGAAAAAAAAACAATTCAAGAAAGAATTTTGGCAATTTTTCGCACCGTTAAAAATCTGTGCACACATAGGTCATTGATACATGCCTGCCAGCACTCTCAGTCCAGGTGACTCCTGAATTATTAACAGTCCTCCTCGTTGTATTGGCATGGCCGCAAGTTTCCCAAAAAGCAACCACAATCTTACCACGGAATGACAATATTGACAAAGGACAGTGGGTGGAAATTTTTTGACCTTGTTTCATGACACAAGAAGTCACTTTTGCCTCAGTACAATTTGTTTATAAGTGTACCAAGATTGGGAAGGGGCTACTAGTTGATACAAAGCAGCACATTTTGTCCCTATTACACACACTGTGCAAGTACGAATACCAGTATGATTGCTGATATCAAAAAAACTTTATTTGCAATTATTATGAGCTGTGTATGATGTTGCTGTGGTCTTGATGTATGTTTTTAAAGCCTATGCCAGTTTTGTTTTGTCATGTCTCACCACCTAAGTGATCAAGCACAACCATTAGGGTACGCAAAGAGGGGCAGAAAAATTGCCTTCCCCCTAATTGTGAAAGAGGCGAGAAGTCTAAATCTGCCCCATACATTGGCTTAGTTGGGTCCCGGGCTGCTATGAACCTTCACCCTGAAGATCATACCATTAGTGGTTGCACAGTGCGCATTAGGTACTGACGAAAGTAACAGCATCTGGTTGTTTTCAGAATCCTCCTGAAGAAACTGGTGGAAAGAAGCCAGAGTTTGCACATGTCATTTCCAAGCTGACATTACACGAAAAATACTTCCTGTCACTGTTGTTGAGCACTGGGCTACTTGGCACCGCTCCAACACCTGCGGCGAGGGGAGCGGTGCGGACGGAGGGACAGCGTTACACAAGATAGTCAAGGAGCTGCTTCGCACCTATAAAGTGCAGCTGGCGACGCCATCCTAACTTTCCCGCTCCAGTCGCCGGAGCAGAGAAGGAGGTCTTTGCATCGGCGGGCATACGCTGCGCCGCGCAAGCCGGTGCGGCTCATTTTCATGACGCCGACAGGTGGCCCGTCGTCGTCTGCGCGAGCGTGGGTGTGGCGGATTGATTGATTGATTTATTAGAACTTTATTTTTCTCCTGAGAAGACGAAGGGGAGACCCCGTGCCACCCGGCTAATCCCACATAGGGACCGTCAAGCCGAGCTTGGCGGCCCGTTCACGGGCACTCTGGATGGTCAGGGTTTGATCCTTAAGTTCAGGGCTGCGTGAGAGCGCAGCCCACCTGTCCTCACTAAGGGCGGGGCCGATGGCTTCCCGTTCCCACAACACATGATTGAATGTGGCTAACAGTCCACAAGCGGGGCAATCCGCACTTGTATACCGTTCGGGGTAGATGGCCTGAAGAACCGCAGGGTTAGGATACGCACTGGCTAGCAATAGTCTTAGCGTGACTGCCTGAGCCCTGCACAAGGCCGGTTGTGGGAGAGGAAATACCCTTCTTGACCAATAGAAGTGCTTTGTTATTTCGTTGAACGTAAGTAAGGGTTCCCAGCGAGGCAGAGGGACTGTGGAGGCAGCGCGGCCAGTGAGTCCTCGCGCGGCCTCGTGTGCGCCCTCGTTCGGGTTAGAAGTAGAGCCCTCAATCGAACCCAGGTGAGCAGGAAACCAAGTGAGAAAATGGGGCGTGATACTCTTGACGCTTTGGAGAATGCGGAAGGTCTGAGGGGCTACCATCCCGGTTTCGTAGGCTTTGATAGCCGCCTTGGAGTCGCTGTATATTGACTCTCTGCGACTATCCAGCATAGCCAGCGCTATTGCAACCTGTTCGGCTATCACGGGCTTCGATGTGTGCACCGTGGCGGAGCAAGTGAGCCTGGAATTTGAGTCGACGATCGAAACAGCGAATGCCTCTTGTTGGACATATGGCGCAGCATCCACAAAGCTTGCATCAGTGTTGTTGCTACGGACGTGCTCGAGCAGAGCTCTACCCCTGGCCCTACGCCGACCGAAGTTGTGCGCAGGGTGCATATTGCGGGGAATGGGTGCGATGCGCAGTTGAGACCTGATGTTTCTGGGAATCTGCATGGAATCGGGTGCATGAGGCGGTGAGCGCGTTCGACCAATCGTCGTGACACGACGCATCCACGCGTACGGGTTGCGCGGGTACACGTTTGCAGAAACGCGTTCCTCGGCCGTCCGTGCGGACGGCAGACGGTCGCCGGGTTTTTTGCTGAACAACGCTGTAAGGCGATCGCGCTGCTGTCGGCTGCGAGAGCCCTCGGTGCATCGTCTTAAAGAAAGCTGCGTCTCCGGCGCGTCGTTGCTCACACCTCCCCTTCTAGCCACCATAGTTCGGACCGTAAACCTTGCTTGATTGCGATTATCAGATCTGGATCGGCTTTGATCGCGTTCATATGAAAGTAGAAGTGCCCGTGTGATGCCGTTGCAATACCAGTGTCACACGAGCACTTATCGTCGCTATCAGCGCAAATCCAAATCTGGATTTTTAAATCGCGCGAACCCTGGTCGCTGCTACATGGTCCGAAATAATCAGTATCAATCTTGGCACGCAAATCAGATCGCGATGCAACAATCGTCGTCGCCTTGATCCCGATCAGGCCTGATCGCAATTGAAAGTATTAACCGTGCACATTGGCGCACCGACGGGGGGGGTAGAGGGTATACCCCCCCCCCCAGAGGCCGACCTAACCCCGCTCTTATATGCCCCAATGTCCTTGTCGCCGAGTCGCCTACATCAGTTGTGCACCGAAGGGGGCGGGAATCAGGGGTTTTAATTCCCCACACCAGAGGTCGACCCCCCCCCACCCCTCTCGCAAAAGTGCAGCCTTGTTGTCAAGTTGTTGTTGTTGTTTCAATCCAAAAAGTGGCTTGATGGCAAAATTGCCTGATTTATTTCATTAATTATGTCATATTCACATATCTACTTCTATACTGAAAGAGTATCTGTGGCTCGGGCTGCATTCACTTCCAGTGAAGCAGCTTTGTACAAAAAAAAGGGTGCTTTCACGAGTCATCAGTCCGACCGTTTTTATTTTATTCTTGGTAGAAGAGGGGCTGTGTACAATGACGATGCCCTGCGTGACTTGGCTTCGGAGCACAGTGCATGTCACTTCAAAATGTGTTACATCTAGCAGCTCAACCAGCTGGGTATGCAATGCTACTTACATGTATGTTGAAAATGAGCAACATTTGCAGCATAAATTTCTAATACTTGTGTCCATGTGCTTCGAGTTGTCGAGGAGTACACCCTCGCGCTGTCAAATGCTAGCTTCCTAGTTAGCTCATTTGGCAGAGAGACTGCTCTAGATAGGTGTTGGTCCTGGTTCGAACCACGTACCAGGACGAATTTTTCGGCAACTAAGAGGCTGTCTTTTTATGAAATTCGTATGAATTTCCTTGTGGCTTCGTGCTACAAACGGGTGGTTGTCTTCTTTCCCTTTCATACATGTATGTTCAGAACAAGAGTTCGCAGCGTTGTTCACCGTTTATAACATTATCCGGTTCATACGGGCAATTCTACTGCACTGACTTGCATACATGCAAATACCTGGTTCACTTGGACGCTCCTAATGCAATTAGAGATTAAGATCTCAAGTGCTTAGATACCACTAAATTATCGGCCTCACAAGGCTTGATTTAATGGTCCTAAAGGTGTGATGTGACGAAGCTGCAAAGTAATAACATTACGCTCAAGTTACTTTAATTGTGCAACTTTCTTCAAATAAAGGAGTCATGCAGCTAATATTACACAAATAACAGGCAAGCTCATTCAATGGCCTTACTCGCTATAGAAGTGAAACACGTGGTGCCCATTTCCAGTTTCGATGCCGGTGGCAGTTTCGTTACTTTTTCCCAAATACTTTACATTATAGTGAGCATAAATTGTGCGCGTCATGTAGCTTGTTTTCCTTTAAATAGTCAACAATAAGTACACAACTTGCTGAAAAACATTCTTTTTGCATGATAAACGAGTTCCTCAAAACACGAAGTAACAACGAAGGCAAACGCGTGTCGCCGCTACAATGCTCTTTAGATTTAAAGTCTTTCGAATTAGCGTCACTGTTGATGTGCAAACGGTGTATAATTCAAATTGGCAGGATTAAATCAAGTTAACTATCGATCCTCTGAAACAAAAAAAGGAAAGAAGTATTTCAGGCACTCTTCCCTTTCTAGATACATTGTGCCACTCTTTTTTTTTCTTGCCTCACCACAATGCATTAAGTTTGTTAAATATACAAGCTTTCTCGGGAACTCTGAGCCGATGTCTGCAAGTCGCCGCGACAAATGTAACAATGAAACATGCCAAGGAACATGCTTTTATTTCATTCCAACCGTAGCCGTATCTCCTCAAGGACCAGATTCATCCGAAGGACTGCCGTTTCATGAGACCTCAAGTCGCATTTATTCTCTCATCTAAATTTATTGAACAAGTATTCAGTTTCTCTTGAAACAGAGGCTCATTGTCGCTTTTGGATGTTCTCGCAACCTGAAAATAAAACTGCAAGCACACCTACCGTAACTGATATCCTCGGTTCACTTCAGACCACCCGAAAATCCGCGATACATCAGTATAAAGACTGTAATGCGAAGAGCCACAATCCAGTGCAGAATACAACTAAAAAAAAGAGAAAAAAAACGATATATCTAGCACTTTCACCAAAAACGGTTACCCAAGATTGTTTATTCAAACCAAAAACACAACGATGCAATCTTAGAAATGCAGCAACAGTATTCCCCCTATCAACACCACGACAGAACCATATCACTGTCCGTTGCCCGAGGCGCCAGTTTGAAGCGAACTCGGGCGACGTGCCATTCGTGGAAGGCTGAGTCGGCTGACAGTAAGAATGTGAGTGGCCCGTCCACTTTCGCTGCTGCCACACACACTCGAACTCCGAAATATGAGGGATAAAAGCCGAGCTAGGGCCAGTTCTAAACCGGAAACAATGCTGTGCACGCGTCTTCAAAGTGAAACCACATGTTCGAAGAACTGCTTGCGTACTCAGCTACTGAAAAAAAAAAAAGCGAAAAAGTTTCGCCGACTTCTCACACTTCGAATGCGTTGCCCGCAGCCGAGGATGGGGATGGGTGGTTCGTGCCTCCCCCCTTTGAACTCTAAAGAGGGACCGTATGCATTCCGAAACGTCGGGACAATGCCCACCCAAAGTTTATCAGAAGGCGCTTCGAAACACGTGTTTTCTGTTTTCTTCGGGGCTTGCGCAGGCAAATGGTGTCTCAAGAAGGGTGGTCGTGCATTTTCTCCTGGACAGCGGACGTACAATGAGCACTGGAGTGGCAAGAAGAAAGGCGGCCTTGCACGCGGCTCGTTCGTCAAAGCGACCGCAAACCGCGGAGGCTCTGCAGCAGAAGCACATGGCGATTAAGCACGTACGTACGCCAGCATGGTCGCCAACCATCCCGCACTACACGCAGGGGCGCCAAGCAAGCACGACTGCCATGCAAAACCTACAAGTGTGGCAGCTTGGGCTGGTTGGTATGATATGACGATAGTTATAGCGCGAGAACAGAACGACGAATAAGAGACTAGAATTAAGGACACGAAGGCTTGTTGTCTCTTTGTCGTCGTTCTGTTCTCGCGCTATAACTATCGACAAAACTTACAGTTGCGAAGAAGGGAGCAGTAAGACGCCGTGGTATAATGAGGAAAAATGGCTTTGGGAACATGCGAAAGGTATATTGCTAGAGTTCACCTTTTCTTGCTTTTTTTTTCAGAAGCAATGTGTGACTCTCTCTTATTTTACCCCTTCTTTCTTGTACGTGGTACATC